AAAACAAGAGTTTTTAAGGCGTTTGCTGCAACGGATTTTATTCTTCTTCTTGCTTTGTGAGTGAAAATTGGAACTAGAGCCAAAAAAGCACTTGTCTGCATAACTGGAGAACGAAGGAAGCTCTCGGAATCCTAGGAGGTTAAATTGCCATCCTATGGAGAACGTAAGAGAATTCTGTCTAATGAGACACGAGAGCCAAGGCCCATTTATTCCACTGTTCTGTTCCCACCCTGGCCTACACGCTGCTTAGGAAAAGCCCATAAGCAGGACAAGAGTCACAGGACCTTCCCAGATATATTTCTCAGCAATTAGCCTTGAGAGAATTGTGCCGACTGTGACCCTAGATGAAGTATGTTGTCATCAGGATTTGTATTCATTGAAATATACTTTAATAATGTCGTGCCATCAAATCAATTTTAGCTTACAAAGACCCTTGCAGGGTTTTCTAGCTATAGTCAGAAGTGGTTTACCAGTTCCTCCTTCTGATGGCACTCTGGCACCATAATATCTAGCCCAAGGCCACAAAGGTGGCAAAACACACACGCCACACAGGTAGTCTTGAATGACACTTCTCCTGTGAGGCACAGAAGGGGCTTGAATTTCAGACCACAATCAGGCCCACTGAGGTATACCAAGGTTTCACTGAAAGCTTCATCCTCCATCCTAAGACCCCTCTAAAGCTGTCTATGTAGATTCTTACCCTCACAAGTTGCAGAAACAAGTTGTACTAATTCACACACGTCCATTAGACAATGAAGTTGTGTGAGTCCTCAGTATTTTCTCACTTTTAAAATGAGGACTATGTCCTTCAGAAAAGGCTCTATAAGCAGTGAATAAATTATAAAATGAAAATAAGAACGTGTGACCGTGAACGCATATGGGTGTCCCCTTGGTAATTACAGTGCCTTGTCAGCTTGATCCTTCCACTCCAAAGCATCACTGGATCGCTTCTGACATGAACAGTGATTGCCATGATAAAAATATGCAACACAACATAACATGTATTCTAACATGTATTAGAAGCCAGCAATACTACACTGTACAAGGTCTAGCACTAGGATGCTGACTCAAAACCACGCGTATTGTTATGATCCTCTGTAAATTTCTCACAATCTCCACTTAAGAGTCAAAGGAGACACAATGCTAATTGCTCAGTTCATCAGAACTAAATACTGACAGTTGCAGTTGTTCTTAATCTGGACTAAGTAGCACAGGTGAGAGAACAAGACAGCTCCTGGATACAAGCCAATTGTCTAATAGATGTGATATAAAAAGAAAAGGGACTGGGGAGGGCAGAAAAAAAAATCAAGCAACATAGACACCAATTTGCAAACACAAGACCCTTCAGTTGAGTTTGTTTGAACCTATGGGGGCTGTAGAACGGTGGGATGCTCCATGCTGGTCCTGCCCTCTGAAGCCCTGAGCTCCTTGTGTTGAGCAAGGAGATTTGCAGTGGTTCCCAGCCGTGAAGAGGAACCACTTCCCAACAGCAAAGAGGAGTGCGAGCCGTCCCCTCCAGCGTCCACAAAGGAGGGACAGGAGACAGCGTATACGCTGAGACCAACAGTGGCCCAACTGAGAGCAGAGGAGAAAAAGAGCGGGAAAGAAGAGCAAGGAGGAGGGTGAGAAAGGGGAGGAGCCAAGAATGGAGGGATATCTGGGGATAGGGGCTGAGGAGAAGAAAGAAGGGGAAAAGAGAGCTAGACTGGGAGGAGGAAACAGAGACAGCAATATTGCCATATTGCAACGTGAGGCCTGAGGGGAGTAAGATAGGAAAAGAGGGAGAAGAGCTGAAAAGGCAAAGAGAGGAAGGATTGGCAGTGCAGCTGGGGAAAACAGAATCCGTGGAATGGACAGTACGTATATGCGTATCCCCCAAGAAGGAAGATCAGTGGAAGGAGGCCAAACCGGTGGGGATGTCGCATCCAGAAACGCCCCCAGAGGGAGAGTGGGGTCAACACCCCTCTGGGGGTACCCTATGTCCCACTCTGAGGAAGCCCATGAGAAAACCCACAGATCGCAAATGGTTTGGAGTGAACCCCCCATGGCGAACTCTCTTGCAACACCCAAGTCAAGGGACTATTATGTTGAATGCAGGGAAACTGAGGGGCCTGTTGGTCCAACTGAAGTTGTTCATGATTCTCTGGTGTTTGAAAATAAAAGAAACGTTTATGAAGAAGGCCTGTCTCCACTTTTTGGGGAACAAAAAGCGGAACGGGACGTTCCCAAAGTTGAACCCACTCAGACACCATTTTGACAGTCACTCATGTGGACTTTTCTACTTGAGCTCAACTGACCAGGAGAGCATCCCTTAATGTTTTTCACCTCCTCAGCACAGTAAGACTGTGGATTCAAAGGGGCAAGGCTAGCCTCACTTTGTGCCCTCACACATTCAGGTTAAGTGCCCAAGCTGGGCTATATTCCCTGCAGCAGCAGTTAATCTTGAGAGAGGGGCCTGTCTGCTTTAAGTACACCAATGTAGCCAATTCAACACATTTGCCACCTGGTTAACAGATAGGGCAAAATGGGATGGGCTTCTTGTTGTGCAGTCCTAGAACATCATCCAGTGGGAGCCAAATGCCTCCTTCACATTCCTTGGCAGAGATGGAGGAGAAAGATCCAAGAAACCCCATCTTCTCTGGCCGACGGGTGGGCGAGATTGGTCTTTCTTTCTTCCCCAGTGATCAGAAGCTATAGCTTTGCAGTGGTTGGCAAATGGGCCGCCAGCAGGCCAAATTCACCCCCTGGCTCGTTTTAATGTTATATTTACTTTTGAGCCAATCCAAGAACTCTGGTAGCCATCAAGATATGACAGAAATTGTTGTTGTGGGTTTTTCGGGCTCTTTGGCCATGTTCTGAAGGTTATTCTTCCTGACGTTTCGCCAGTCTCTGTGGCCGGCATCTTCAGAGGACAGGAGTAGGAAAAACCCACAACAACCATCAGATCCCGGCTGCGGAAGCCTTCGCGAATACATATGACAAGAACTTTGAAATAAAATAAAATAAAATAAAATAAAAATACAATAAAATACAATAAAATAAAATACAATGAATGAATGAATGAATGAATGAATTGAACACAATGGAGAGTTCCCACTGTATCAAAATTAAGCTACCTGTAATGTCACATAGCTGTACACAAGTTTTGGAGTTCTCCAGAATACTACATCACGATAAATAATCTACTGAATAAGGGCAAGTGGAGGAAAAATGCTGTCAGTGAACCAATATATAAGACATACATATTATATTTAATCAGCCTCACCATCTTGATAGAGGTACAGTATTTTATATGTGTGCCTCAAATTCAGCAGTTGAATAAAGCACAGCGGGCTAAACCGCAGAAGCCTCTGTGCTGCAGGATCAGAAGACCAGCAGTCGTAAGATCGAATCCATGCAACTGAGTGAGCTCCCATCGTTTGTCCCAGCTCCTGCCAACCTAGCAGTTCGAAAGCATGTAAAAATGTGAGTAGATGAATAGGTACCATCTTGGTGGGAAGGTAACAGCATTCCGTGTCTAGTCACGCTGGCCACATAACAACGGAAACTGTCTTCGGACAAATGTGGCTCTACGGCTTGGAAACGGGGATAAGCATCAGGCCCTAGAGTTGGACACAACTGGACTAAATGTCAAGGGGAACCTTTACCTTTGCCTTACTCCAAGTGTCCCTAAGATCAGTTCTCCCAAACAAAGGAAGAACAGACACAGAAAAAAGAAGCATCACAATTTTTTAAACACACAAAAATGAGCTTCTGTTCCTACAAGCTTCCATAAGTAGTCTTCTTCATTATATACCTCTCAAAATTTAAAAACCAGGTACTTCCTGGCCAGTTTTCCTTCAGTGACCAAAGCCTGCCATTTTAGCACTCTGTGTGGCTAGCAGAACATTTCAGGGTATCAGTCTGGCCCCTTGTTTGAATTTATTCCAGAATGGGGGGGGGGGAATGGTTCCAAGTTGAAGATGAGGTTAAATATATAACTTAACAACAGAAACTTTTGAAGAAGATCTTTATATGTCTGAGGTGGCAGAGAAAGAAAAGAAAAATTTATTTATATAAAACTTTATTTAAGAAAAATCTAAATAAAGATACTGAAAGTACAACACTTGGGCTCTGAGGGGGGAACAGATTGTCATACAAAATTCTGATTATTTAACCATTTTCCCATAGTTGGAAAATGATTGCTTTCCAGTTTATCTGGGATCAAGCATTGTCATTCACCTTAAAAGAGACACTCGCTGGCCAGGAAAAGTACACTGAACAGAAGTACTGATTGTTTCGAATTTATTTCTAATTATGCAATATATAGCCATGGAGTAAGTATCAGATTGATGCAGTCTTGGGAGCGTAAATATCTGAAGCCATAACCAGGAAACACCTTATAATTCAGCAAGATCCCACAGCTATAGCCTACACTGCCTCCTCCACTCATTAGTTAATCTTTCTCCTTGTTAAAGGTCTGAGGAACCAAGCCCATCCTGTAGCTTTTACTGCATATTGAATCTCCCCATGTGGGTCTTCTCTGTATACATTAATCTCAGTTTGCCCTTTACCAGAGATGAAGGCGAGATTCGTCCCTCCGCAAGACACCACCATTTTGGCATTGTCCTGCACAATTACTGGTTCCCAGGGCAATTCTGCTAAGGCCTTCCTGAGGCAACTCCGTAGCTCTTCTGAGCCGTTGTGGGAAGCCACATCTTGTAAGACACTCTGGATGCTGCTGATGTTGAGTGGCAAAGGATGACGTCCAAGCCTTGCCAGATAGACATCTGGATGGGCTTCATGAACCAATGTATAAGACACCTTCTCATTGATCCAGACCACTTCAATGAGGTTTCCCCCTTTTCCAGACAGGAACTCCCGCTTTGTTCCGTTACACTGCAGGATCATCCTGGTGTTCTTCTTCACAATGCTTGGCTCCTCAGAGAACTCCTGAACAGCTTTCTCCAAGCAGTTCCTCATGGCTCCCCCCTGTGGTTCTTCCGTTTCAGCTGCCAAGAGAGTTGCAAGGGTGAGATTTTCTGGCACAACTGAGACGGCAGCTGTCATGTTCTTCCTGGCTTTGATCCCATCCTCTTTGGGTAGATCTTGGGGCCCAGTGGAAGGATTGTATGAGAAACACAGCAGAATGCACAAAAATATAAGTTCAAGTAGCACAGATAAACTGATAACCAAAATCACCATTTTTCTTTTAACCCAAGGCCTATCAGTCTCAGTCATAGAGGGCTTATGGGTGACACAGGGCACACCATAACCTACGCTCTTCTGAAAGGTGGGGCATAACGCTACAGAGCTTTGTGACAGAAATTCCCACAATTTCTCCTGGAATGAAGCTTTTCTCACAGCCTTTGCGAATACTTTTCTCATAGATTTGGATCTGCTCAGGTCTTCCTCATCCAGAAGAGGCTCAAACACGTTACTGTCATCTCTCATGCTGGCGAAAGCTGCCAAAAGAAAATGGCTTAAAATTAATGACCTCTTAGAGGAGTTACTTTTATAAATTACTTTATCATTCTGGTTCAAAAACCCCAATAGTGATTACTTAACATTACTGTTGGTTTTATAAAGAAAAAAGAAAAGGAACACCACTTTCTCAATATTAAAAGTAACAAAAACATAGCTACCCAGAAAAAAATAATACATGATTACGGGGAGGAATCAAAACTAAGCACTTCTTGTCATTATATGCTGGTCTTAAACGCTATGGCATAAACTGTGGCCATGGTTTGCATTTGTATTCCTTGTCATGCACCAGCTGCTTGACTTGGCATGTGGCAAGGAATACAAGCAGTGTCTAATGCTTGTGTAATGGGCTCCTGTTACAGCTGCACCTGGCCCCCTCCCTTTCAGTCTTTAAGTGAGTGCTCAAAACAAAGCTATTTGGTGAAGCCTTTGAGGGCATCCTCTCCTAATGTCTTTTCTGGTTTTGTTATATTGGCATTTCCCATTTTGCCACTGTCTGGGCTTATTTTATTTATGTGTTAAGGCACAGATAATTTTATTTATTTATTACATTTGTATCCCGCCCATTTAGAGAGTGGGCAGCTCACAATAAAATTATATTTGATTTACATTGCCACTGTCTGGGCTTATTTTATTTATGAGTTAAGGCACAGATTATATTTGATTTACAGTGGTGCCTCGACTTACAAACATCCTGACTTACGACCATTTCGAGTTGCGACTAGTTCCGGCCACAAAATTTTGCTTCGACTTGCGGCGGAGCTTCTAGTTATGAACAGAAAAAGGCAGGGGGAAAAGATGCATGGAAAAACACTGCAAGACCCATCAGAAACACAATTAATCTGTTCTGGCTGAAGGGGGGGGGGGGAAGAAAAGCAAACAAACCATGCAAGACCCTTCGGAAATGCAAAAAAAGCAAAGCAGAAAGCAAACAAAATGTGCAAGACCCACTGGAAATGGGGAAAACCCCCAAAATGCAAAAAACCCCGCAAGACCCATCGGAAATGGGGGGAAAACACACAAAAAAACCCAAAAACCCTGCAAGACCCACCACAGCATAGAAATATAATCCCACCACCCAGACCTAAACCACACTGAAAAACCCACCCAGAACAGTTTGTAAAAAGCACAAAGCAGCACCTTACCTTACCAGGCAGTCCAAAGCCTTCTCCGATCACACACTCTCTAACCCCTGGGGCAGAAGAGCTACAAAGAAGCAGCCACTTCACCTACTAACGGTAGCAAAAGGAGGGGGAAAGGGTTCAAAGCAATTCCACGACTGCACAATCATTTAAATCCCTTTCCCCCTTATACAGCCATGGGATTGCTTTGATCCTTCGCCCCTCCTTTTGCAAAGCCCCATGGGACTTAGCAAGCAGAGAGGAAAGCAGGGATCAAAGCGATCCTGCAGCACTTTGATCCCTGCTTTCCTTTTGCTAAGGCTTAGCAAGTGGAGGGGACAGCAGGGATCAAAGCCGTGCAGGATCACTTTGATCCCTACTTTCCCCTCCACTTGTTTTTTTCTCCTCAGTTTACTTCTGTGTATAAGACGACCCTCAATTTTTAGTCTAAAGATTTTAGACAAAAGTATAGTCTTATACACGGAAAAATACGGTATCTTACCCAAACTTTCTATGCCTAATGGCTGAAGCAAATAAATGAGAACCACAAAATAATGTAACTGCCCTCTTCTTCCCAGTGCTGTCTTCACAACTGCCAATGGAAATTAGACTCCTTTCTTCTCCTATTATCACATACCAATACTTACATATCTCTCACCTACTTTGTTGGGTTGGCATAAGCAACTGCATGGTATATAGCAATGGTAGTCATTGACAGAAATCCATGTTTTAACCTGCAGCTGAACTCTTGAACTATACATCAATGCTGTTTGATCTGCACTGGTCACCTCTTTGTTTTCAGGGTCAACTTAGTGTGTGTTTATGGCTTTGAGATCCCTTAAACACATTGAGACTTGCCAACTGGAATGGCAACTGAGGGTGTGCTTTGGATTCCTTCACAATTCTAGGTACAGAAGATACCTATAACAAACAGGCCTTTTCCAAATGTGGCATCCATCCTACAAAATGCCTGCCTTGCCCAACTCTAAATATTTTTAGAAGCCCAGTTAAGACCTGGCTTTTCTGAGAAGCTTTCTGTAGGGGTTGAGGTGGTCTAATGCTCTCTTCTATGTTTAAGGTAGGGCTATTCTCTTTCTTTCATATGCTGTTGCATTAGTTTTTTTTAATAGAATATTATCTGTTTGCTGTCCAGAGGTCTTCCATACCTATCTGCCCCTTACCAGAAACAGAAGAGGCAGAGTCACCACCGCCAGATGAGTCTGAAAGAAGACTCACTCACAAGCCACAACAGGAATGCCACTCATGGACACAACCAAGACCATTTGCCGTTGCCATAGGAACAGGAGGACAGGGCCAGCTGGCAAGCAGGGGCAGAGGGAGGGCTGGCACAACATTGTGACAGGGATGATGGCACCCCATCTCCTGGGCCAATGACAGCTGCTACCACGGAAGCAGGACTGACAGCTGGAGGAGGGTGCTATTACCCTCATGCTTTAGGTTTCTTTGGAACAATAGGACTGACAGCTGGAGGAGGGTGCTATTATTACCCTCATGCTTCAGGTTTCTTTGGAACAACAACATATTTTTAATGGGTTTTGGGGGCCAATAAACAATTCCTTTATAGCACAATAGAAGCAAATCAGTGACATGGGAACAAACATCAAATGGCTGGGAATGAGATAATCATCTGGATCTCAAGATAATTCACAATGCAATCCCCTCCTGGTCCACTCATAAATACCATTCTGCTGAGTTCTGTGAGGAAATACATATGGGATTACAACCTTAATGGAGAGAGGAAAACTTCCACCATCCGCTCCCCTTGTGCTCATCTGTGAACCCCTCTCCCTCAAAACAGCCCTGAATCATTCAAGGCCCATCCTGGAGAATGGGTGTGTGTGTGTATCTCTGAGAACTTTTCCTTCTGTGAACTTTAAATTATCTTAGTATCCAAGTTTGATTTTGGGTGACTCTCCCCCTCCTAACAGTTCTCACCCTTCATCCCATATTTTTCCGATGTCTTCCACAAAGGTTAAAAACTGTTTTGATGGCCCTGCCCATATTAGAAAAAATAATAATGGCTCAAAGGCTTTCACGGCCGGGATCCGATGGTTGTTTGTTTTCCGGGCTGTTCGGCTGTGTTCTTAAGAACATAAATAAATAAACAAATAAACAAACAAAATTTGCCTCAAAGAACCCTTGCAGAAAATGGCTGCAAAGTTTGCCTCTCCCTTCCCCTGCTCCTTGCAGCCCTTTGTTCGCGGATGATCGCACTCACACACCCCTCTTCGGTCCCGTTTGCTGCGCTGAAACGTTGTATATAAATAAACGTTCACACTGCAAAACTGTAGATTAAAAAAAGGATTTGGAGGGTGGGGGGGACTGGAAAATGGAGGAGAAGCTTGAACAGCCGTGAGAGACAGGACGTAACTATTGAGAGAACTACGAGAAGGGAGTGAGAGGGGGATATTGGATAAAGAACTGAGTGGGGGCGATCAGACACCACTCACCCAAGGAAACATAGCTACCTGTGTACCCCACCGATGTGGGGCGGGGTGGCTTTCGGGCACACGTAAGCTCTCCTCCACTGCCGCAGACCCAAAGGCAGGCTCAGCCCGGCCCCTTGCTCGCCTATAACCCTCACTTGTAGCAGATCCTACGGCCAATAAGGATTCAGCCCATAATGACTCTCGCTCCCCCCCCCCTTTGGAGAGCATACCTCATAAAGGCGTGTGGTCAGCGACAGGAGACGTCGGGGCTGGAGCTATGGGCAGCAGCAGCGGCTCTTAACATTAGCCGGCCGAGAGTTTACATGGCCAGGATGCGCCCTGGGTTCAGGTTTAGGTACGAAGAGCAGAATCCCTGACGAAAGATTGCAGCGCAGGATAGTTTGGCATCGTGTAGGAAAAGAGGAGCTGGGCTCCTGTACTTTTAAGAGTTGGTTAGAAGGGAGGATCCCGCGGCTGCAGTTTGCTTGACAGCTGCTGAAATTCCCTCTTCCGCACAACTGTTAAAGGCACAGGATCACCCTCTTCTCTATATTGCCATCCTCCTTCACATGTTGTCAGGTGAAGTCAAGTTGCGTCCGACTCTTATTAACGGAGGGCCTCCAAAATGTTCTGTCCTAAGCTGCCATGTGCAACTCTTAAACTTTGGGCTGTGACTTCTTTTCTAGAATCAATGCATCTCATATTCGGCCTTCCTCTTTTCCTGTTACGTTTCTCCTTTTCCACCATTATTCTTTTCTGGAGAATGTTGCCTTCTCATGATGTGCCCCAGGTTTGACAGCCTCAGTTTCTTCATTTTTGCCTCCAGAGATAGTTCGGGCTCGATGACTTGTTACTCATTAACATTTCCTTTCTATTGCTTCTTTTCTGTTTCCCTCTTCCTAAGACTAAGGAGTCCAGAGCTACCATACTCTGTTGTTATTGCCTCCTTTCCCATACTTATGTATAATATTTGGAAAGGGGGCTCCTCCTGCATGATAGTACCCTTCTAAATATGAGTGTTGTTGTTTTGACTACATAACAGTCCCCATTGGGAATTCTTAGCTTGGTTTTAGAGCTGGACATATTTGTTGGGAGATACTGGGACTTGTATTTATTTATTTATGGAGCGTCTACACTACCTGATTAATGTGGCAGTAGGTGGCTAACAATGCAAGAAATATAACAATAATAAAGAAAATAAATGAATAAACATGACATTAAATCAGCCAACATCAGACAGTAGATGAGCAGACAAACACAGTTTGGCAGTCATCACGAAGGAATGCCCTGAACAGTTTCAGTAGAAATTATCTTCAAGAAGATGGAGAGCGTGAGGGCCAGGCTTAGCTCAACAGGAAGCCCATTCTTGTTGAGGGCTGTTGCCATAACTGAGAAGGCCCAATTTCTGGTGGAAATCTTTCTGGCCTCTCTCTGCGTGGCAGTCCATAGGAGCACGGCCTGGCTACTGGTTGCATCCTGGATGAGATTCATGGCCCTGATAAATCACCTACAAAGCATTTCACGGTTTGAGACCATGTTACGTGTCAGAGTGCCTTTTCGCAAGGCTATCTACCTGCTCCACTAGATTCTCCAGGCAATGCTCCTCCGAGTAGCTACTCTGAAAGAGGCCAAGAAATCATCCACCAGAACTTAAGGCCTTTTTTGCTATGGCATCAATACTTTGGAACAAATTCCCAGTGGATCTCCACCTGGCCCCCTCCCACCCAACATTTTAAGACTTCTGAAAACATTGCTTTTCAGGCAGGCCTTTCTTGGCAACCCTGCCTGATATTTTTTTTCTGTTTGTTTTATTTGTATAGATGCCTCACATTCTGTGTTGTGTTTGCAAATCACGCCTCTTGAAGCTTTTGTATTTTTGTTTAACTGTGAGTTAATACCAGCAAGGTAAAGTAAAGGTTGCCAACATTTCACTTAGTCTTTGTAGCTGCACTTTTTGCAGCAGCTGGATGCTCAGACACCAGGAAGTGATGTTTAAACTTAAATGTGCAAGGCCTGCTGATTTCTGCATATCAAGCTGCATCACACTAATAGGGTGGTATATAAATTTAATAAATAAATACCATTTGCTGCTCTGTTTCGGGCAGCAAAATATCTTAGGCTACCTCTACCTCTTTTCTTCCTTGCATTCTTTTCATAGGCACCAGTGTGGCCTCTTTAGAGAAAGAGGATGAACCCCACAGCCTGACCCAGCACAGCCCATCTTGTTTTATGTTCTTAAAAGGAACATTCTTACTTTTTCATTCCCTGGGAATTTTCCCTTCTCTGGGCCTCAGCAGAAATGCCGTTTCTAGATTGATGCCTGCTATGGCATAAGGGCACATCATTTACAAATAAAATTTGCCAGTATCGTCTCACTATGAATATACCAATCTCATCTAAGCAGGATTGGACCTCACCGGGGGGGGGGGGATAGCATCAACCTAAAAAGGATCATTTGGGTTACCTAATTTAGAGTAGCCAGCTTTCAGGGCACAACTGTTGCATCCGCACACAGAAATGGTTTCACAAAATACAACAATCATCATCACAGACTGAACATGCATAAGACATCTTGCTGTTAGCCACCCAGAGTGGTATGATATACCAGATGGGCAGGATATAAATTAAATAATAAATAAATCTTTCTACCTGAGGCAGAAAAACACTTGGGATCACCTACCTCAATTAAGGTGCATAGTACCCCAAAGTTGTAGTATGACACACAAGACATTAAAATTCCACAAGGGCCTCTTTCCATTCCTGGCATGAAAGAACACAATAAATTAATAGCTTAACAATTTTGCCCTTCCATGATGATATATATAGCTCAAGGTAGCTACCTCACCTTACTTAATAACATTACACAATATGTTTGGTAATCAACAGAACCCCCTGGTAGGTCAAAATAATATTTTCCCCTTCTTCCCAAATTCTTCCTCAAGAAAGAGGCTTGTCAAATCATTTTCTTAATAAATGAGAATCGTTCCAAAATCATAGCAATGGCCAGAGGTAGTGTCTCTGTGGCGATCGCCCACATCACTCATGCCATTCATATTCATGAGCTGATTTGCGTGAACCTATGAAAGGGCTGGAGAGGCAGAGTCAGGAACGTGGTGGCGCTGTGGGCTAAACCGCAGAAGCCTGTGCTGCAGGGTCAGAAGACCAGCAGTCATAAGATCGAATCCACACGATGGAGTGAGCTCCCATCGTTTTGTCCCAGCTCCTCACCAACCTAGCAGTTCGAAAGCATGCAAATGCAAATGCAAATAAATAAATTAATAGGTACCATCTCGGTGGGAAGGTAAAACGGCGCTCCCTAGTCACACTGGCCATGTGAGAATGGAAACTGTCTTCGGACAACTGCTGGCTCTATGGCTTGAAAATGGGATGAGCACTGTCCCCTAGAGTTGGACACGATGTCAAGGGGAACCTTTACCTTTATGAGAGGGCTGGAGAAGCAGAGTCAGCAGCTACATGAGGCTTGGCAAAAGGAGGAGATAGATTGAGATAGAGATTGGGATGAGATGCAGAGAGAGGGCTGGTTAGGAAAATAGGTAGAGAAGGTGGTAATGATATAGCAGGAGAAAAGAAGTACAGTATGTGCTGAGAGGACTGTTGATGATTTGCTTCTGTATAATGTGTATCTGAGAAACTTCTGTTATTATTCAGTCTGCTTCACTTCAATAAATAAGTTCTGTTTCTGTTCACAATACAAGTGTTCTGACATACATCATTTATATTCTGGATTGAAGTAATCTATTGGTGGCAGCGAGAAGAAAACACGACGTGAGCCTTTGTGAGGGAAAAACAAGCAGGGGCCACGAGGGTAGATGTCACAGTCTCCTCCTCCTTGCCTTCAGATACTTGTCCTTGGCAGATAAGTATCCAAGAGGCAGGCAATCTATTGTTTCCCAAGTGTTTTTGCACTCCTATAGCTCTCCTATTTCTGTCCATGCTGGTCTAGGGGGAGATAGAAATTGTAGTCCAAAACTGAGGAAAGGCAACATGTGGCCTACTCTGTATTTTCCAGGTTAGGTGTTGTTACAGGTAGTGATTGCTATTAAGGCCCTAGTTGAGGGGGTGCTGAGCAAACCAGTGATTCATGCGCACAACTTTATACTTTCAGTATTTTGCTGGCATTTCCTGCCCAGAGACAGCCGATAGGGCCAGCTCTGTGCCCAGCTGGCTATCCTGTTGATCCAGGGTTGGGTCCTTGGTCTTCCAGATTTTGCTGGACTCCAGACGCTCATCAGCCTTAGACAGCAAGGCTGATGTTGAAGAATAGCAGAAGTTTTAGTCCATCTAACAATATAGGACCACATGTTCTTCCTGCCTCCTCTCTCTCTCTCTCTCATGGGAGATAACTCAGTAAGGGCTAGGCATATTCAATATCTATCATATACTGTAGTGGCTGCAAAGGCATTTAAAATCAGGAGACGAGGAAAGGAATTTGAATCTCTTGATGATGGCATGGTTTCCAGGAAAGCACCTTGAACCTGAAGCACTTCACACTGTAAGATTTTTTTTTTTTTGGCAAGACCCACTTTTAACCCCTGGAAAGCAGTTCTGCTGTATCACCTTAGATCAAAACACTGGTGCCTTCTAGAAAGATGCTTTCTGCTGTGTTACCAAGACAGGAGTTGTTTGCACGGAACTTTATTGCTGCACATTTATTACAAATAAAAATAGATAAATAAAATTTGAACATAGCCAACATCATACCGACTTCTCTATGGGCAGACCCTCCAACATGTTCAATCTGTTATAAGAAAGGTAGGGTTTAGGTACAGTGCTAAATACATACAGCTCTACTGAACCAGCCCATGCTGCCCACAAGCCATTTATATCCTTGGCAAGTCCCACTGGAATTAAACGTGACCAAGGAGGCTTCTGTTCTTACCCACCTTTTCATCCATCCCAATGGAGCCTTCTCTTTCCTTTACAGATTCAACATGTTTGAAACCATCTAACAGGGCCTGTTTTTGGTGGGAAGAGTATCTATCAGAATCTGCACCCATACACTAGTTCAGTGGTTCCTTGGACTGCAACTCCCAGAAACCCTGGCCAGCACAGCTGATGGTGAAGGCTTCTGGGAATTGCAGTCCAAAAACACCTGGGCTAACCAACATTGGGAACCAGTGCACCACTTAAAAGCTGAACTTACAACAGTTACTTTTTTTGGACTACAATAGTAGTTCATTGGGAATGCTAGGAACTGAGTCCAAGAAGTAACTTTTCCAGTATCTGTTTGAAGCATATTAAGGATAAAGTTCTTTTTAGTGTAGTTTATCCAACTGACACTGGCCATTCAAGTCACTATGTTCCTACAGTGATAGGCACTATATCCTATTTAAATCTTTCAAAGCACATCAAGAGGAACATCAGTAAAATGAAGGTCTCTTGCCACCTTCTTTTGTCAACTTGGAAAAAGTGCAAAGATGTCAATACAAAAAAAAGACATGTTAGCGAACTGTATCTCATTGCATCAGGAAAATGTTTAGTGAAAGCTTCAGGATACATCTACCAATAGAATCTGACACATGCTACGGTTCCATATTTTTCAGATCAAATCAAGGAAGCATTTCCCAAAATATATACAATAGAAACTATTATTTGTTGAAACAGAAACGTCTCTGAAAACATGAATTGAATATTCGACCCCAGTCTCACTTTACATTTGAACTTTCTAGGTGAAGAAGCTTTCACTAAACATTTTCCATGAAGAATTTAGGCAAATGAAGGTGACTAATGGTTAAAGCAATCATCTTCAGAAATGGAAATCTTAAGTCTTCACCCAAAACATGTTCACAAAGTCTCAGAGATGTTCGGATATGCTCCCAAGTGTTTGGATCCTAAACAATTTCTTCAGATGAACTTTGAGTTATTTATGTAGTTAAAAAATTTTGAGCAGGCTTCCATGCTGTTTTGAGCAGTTTGACAATATTATAGAATATGCTACATTTTTTTGAGAGAGAGAAAAGAAAAGTATGCAAGCCAGGTGTAAAAGAAAGCTTGTAATCCAATAGTTCAGTTGCAACGAGAGCAGGCCCATTGGATCAATGGGGTTTTTGATGAATCAACTCCTTCATGAGTTGCATTGATTCAATGGGCCTTCGCTAGTTGCAATTTACTACTGGATTTCAGCCAGTGTGTTTATACTCTTTATAGGAACACTGGAGTTTGCTCATTCAAATCTGTATTGAAACTATTTTTATTTTCTATTCTGCAGCACATTCTGTCTGTTTAAGATACCAAAAACATTGTTTTTTTCAGTTGCAACCTCAGAGTCAGGCCCACTTTGGATAGTGACCAGGTTAGTCATTTCCTGAAGAGTAGTTTTAAGCCCAGTTGCTTTCATCTCCTACTTGGTTGAGTTCTTGGGTGAACTGGCTGAGGGTGCCCATCTCTTGTCCCATGGCTTGGACTTTTTCTTCAATGGAAGATACTGCCTTCAGGAGCTTAGCCGTCAGACCCTTCAGAGTCTCCTGATTCATCAGGACCATTTGGAGAGTTTCTTGGTTCTCCCGGACGGTGTCTGCTCAGAAGAAGACAAACATTTACAGATACCTCTGTCTTTCAAGGAACTTCAGGCAATGTGACTCTTCCCCTCCATTCCCATTGAATCAGCTCCAAACCTTGCTCCAAACCTTGCATAATGTATTAAATGAAGTGTGTGACTGGCCCAAAATCACCTCAATGACCTCATAGCCAAATAGGGATTTGTCTCCCACTTCTAGACTAACACTCTATAAGTACACATTCTGGCTGTCAAGCATACTGTATTTAGGGACACAGGAAACTTCCTCATACTGAACCAAAACACTGGTCTATTTGGCCCACAACTCTGGCATCCAGTGGCTTTCCAGAGTTTCAGGCAGGATTTCCTCCTAGCCCCAGTGTTTGTATCGAAGCCAAAACTCACAAGGTCAAGGCCCCAGCAGGGCTTATTACATCATCTGCCATCCCACTTAGTTTTTCTTGTCCCCTCTGAATTTGGGTTGCAGTGCTGGCAGCAGTTGGGAAAAGAAATATATTTGCACATGAAAAGACCACTACTGGGAACTATCCCTATTGCAATGGAGAATGTCCAATTGTGAGCTGAGCTTCAATGGCTAATTAAGAGCCATTAACTGTACAAAAGACCCGTCCCTCATATGTTGTTTATGGATTTATTCAGCCTCCTGAATTTTTGGACTCTTCGTAGTTGGCTATCGAAGCTGTCATGACAGGAGCTTGCACCTCCGTATCTACCACTCCCAGCTCACTACCAAGATATGTTATTACCTGGTGGATTCCCATCCCATCAGGCCTGACCCTGCTCAAATCACAGAAGATATGAAGAAATGCTGCCCCTTTCAGAGCAGAGAGAAGCACACAATTTCTGAGCTTCAGAGTGAGGACTTTTTGACTGAACAAGGAACAACTCACCAAGCACTTTGGAGTGCTCATTCCTCTCACTCAGATGCACCTCCGAGATGGTATTTGAAAGAAAGGTTGCCTGCTGAGGTAGGGGAGGCTGCAGCTGGCTTTGCTGGGCTGCTTCATCAAGCACTTCTTCAGGGTCATCTTTACCTTCATGTTGAACAAGCTCACAGGCTACCCAAAACAGAATGCAATTGAGATATATGTGTTGTGGCTTCGCTACTGTAGATGTCCAAGGCAACTCTTTTACAAAGATTTCTCCTGAAATGCACTTTTATCCTCTACTACCATTTTTAAAAAATCAAAAAAAATGGATCGACTAGACATCTGAGGATAACATTATTTAATAGGAGGTAGAGCTAAAGGAAAGAAAAGGCCCAGCTCTCTCATTACACTTATGGAGGTGTAACTTTTAGACACAAATGGTCAGAAGTTAAGAAATCTCCATATTCATTATCAGCCACGGGCAGAGAAAGATTTTTCCAAAAATAAACATGATTTCAGGGCCTAGAGAATAATAATGAGAACTGACAGGCTTATATTTTTACTACATCCTATCATCTTTCCTGTATCAGATACACATAATAAAAATAAGGCTCATATCTTGGTACTTTTCAGAAGACTACCTGTTCATGTTTAGAGTGCGTTTTCCTCATTATGCAGCACCCAACACCCGCCTGAAATGCAGGCATACACTTTTGAGAACACAGTGCATCTCTTTTGGTTCTAGTCAACCTTGTTAGACCATCTCACTATTTTTTTTAAAAGATAAACCCTAACATTTCATGGCACCGTTGGTCAGAAACAGTAACACAGGCTAATTCATCCCAGCCTCTTACCAAAGCTCAGGACAAATTCTACCTTTAAAAAAAAGAAAGCAAAGAGCTGTTAAGCTCTTCGAGGTCAAATACTAACCCTCACTCCGTTCTACTTGCAAGTCTTCTTTCAGGGTCCTGCCCCCCATCTCCGCCGACCTCCCAGCTGGTCCCTCCATCCTCTCCGCCCCACCGCCAAGAATTTCCTGGGACGCAGCAGCAGCAACTCGCAACCGCTGCAACGTTTTGACGAAGTTCCAGCCCAAGGGCGATCCTCGACCCCTTAAACTTGCTCTCCTTTGGGTTTCACTCAGGTCCGTCTTGAGCTGAAGCCAATCAGGTCCCAGCATTTCATCCCGTTTCATTCATTTGCCGGGTTAGCGTTGCAAGTAGATCAAGATGTGCGTAGGAGGAGATTTTACTTTGGGTTTTTTTTTTCTCCTACGGGAGTTGATTTTATTCATTTTGTCTCTCCACTCATTAGCTCTCCCCCCCACCTTTAAATGGGAACAGAATACTGTACTAGAGATGATGTTTGCTTCTGCATTCACACTGTGGGCTTCCAGGATCTAAAGAAGCTGGTCAAACCAAATATGAATATAATTAATGAAGGAGATTTTGCAATCTAGATTCTCTCTCCCACTTCAAGGAAGATATCTAGGTGTTATTTTTTTTTAATAAATAGTAGTACATTCAAGGAAGATATCTAGGTGTTATTTTTTAATAAATAGAAGTAGACGTCTCCTCTCACATTAAGCAACTGTGACGACAAGCTGTGCCATGCCTTTAACTGTTTTACAAGTTACAATTTTTGTTGTTGTTGTTAATGGCAACCCTAAAAGAGCACTAAGGAACGGTTTACAATTGCCATACACACCTGTCCTGTTTGTTTTCATGGCTGAGTGATGATTTGAACTCACTACTCCAATGTTCTAAGTCTGACACTCTTGTCCACTACTTACTACTACATACACCATGCTGGCTCAAATAGAAAATGTGCATTATGTGCTATTAAGTTGCATCCAATTTATGGTAATCCTGACAGGGTTTTCAAAGTGTGTGAAATATTTAAGTAGTGGATTTACTAGTGTCATCACACTCAGTGAGTTTTCAAAGCCAAGCAAGTGGTTGGAGCCCACAAGCCCTAATTCCCTATCAGTAACTCACTTCAGCGCACTGACTATCTAGTTAGACATTACACAGATGAAGCTTTATTACAGCACGGGAAAACTTTACCTGGTGAATAAATAGGTCGAGTGCCTTACCTTCATATCCATCTATTAAAGCCCCAGGCACCCTGCCAAGCCATAAACCGACCAAACTGGAAGGGTATTTGGGGTTTTAATGACATGCTTTCCTTTGAGGTTTGTTAGCTTTCAGAATGCATAGTGACTAACAGTGATGCTGATAGCATGTAATACAATTGTAACAGTTATGGTTTTTTTTCCAGAAAAGAGTTGAGGTACTGCTGATGCCAGACGAAGTGGACTATAGTTTTCTCCTGATTTCCCAACAATTGGACAGAGCACAAAGAAAAAAGACCAAGTAGTAAATGCAGACATAAAAAGGAGAAAAAAAAGGACCAGGTCTAACATTTTCGTTCCCAGTATCCTCAGACCAACAACTGAGATGAATTACTTCTTTGCTGACAGTCCTTTACATGTGGATCTCATAAACCACTGTTTTGAATTGGGTTTTGGTGTTGCTCATTTTTTTTCCTATGGTGTTTGTTGGATCCTTTTGTGTTTATATACTCACCAATGTTAGTGTTTAATACAATCCTTTAATGATGTAAGCCACCTAAGGTCCTTTTTGAAGGAAGGAAGGAAGGAAGGAAGGAAGGAAGGAAGGAAGACCCAAGCTGGGAGAGAGGGAACAAAGAAGAAATAAGACCAATAATTATCCTGCCCAATAGTGTTTATTTACCTGTTTATAATTTTAATGAGCAAAGTGAGCTATGGTTTTCACATGCGGTATGAGGTAATTTTTTCCCCAGTTGGAAGAACTGAGATTAAAAGAGGGGACTGGCCAAAAATTTCCCAGTCACTTTGACAATTTAGGTGGAATCTGAAGCCAAGCTCCTTGGAAAAGTCACCTCCATTATTCTTGCCTGCAGGTGCTGCCAATTTATTTTCCTGAGGTAGCTCTAAGATTTCAAGAGCAAGACTGTCAGTCTGATTTGAAGAATGTGTACCCAGAAGAAATCTCCAGTGAGTTCAGTAAAGGCTAGAAATTATCCAAGATGAACAGATCTGAACACAAAGAAGAGGCCTACAAATCACACCAAGAGATGAGTTCATGGGGCTTTCTGTCCCCAGGACAGCCAATCAGATGCTTTGGGGAAGCCCACAAGCAGATATATGCACAACTTCCCTCTCCAAAACTCATGTTCCCTAGCAACTGATACACAGAGACATACTGCCTGGCAATGAAGGGAATCATATACACTAGCAGCCCCCCGCCCCCCGCCCGCCTCACCGTCCATGGACTGGGCTAGTCCTCATGTAAGGCTGACCAATACTGCCTGGCAATGAAGGGAATCATATATACTAGCATGGATTGGGCTAGTCCCCCTGTAAGCCTGACCCATAAAGCAGCCATCTCATTGCAGGCCATGGGAGTGGTGGCCAGGAACAACCTGGTTGTGTGGAAGACGTACCGCCCTTTAGCTATGCTGATTCCTCACCATTTTGTCCCAGTGGATGCCCCCAGTATTTTGAAAAGAAGGAAAACCCAAGATGTATACAGAAGTTTGTTTTTGTGCCTTTTCAACATACTATGCAATGATGTGCATGCTTACTTTAGAACAGTTGCTTTCAACCTTGGGTCCCCAGATGTTCTTGGACTACAACTCCCTGAAATCGAGGCCAACAGAGCAAGAAGCGAAGGCTTCTGGGAGTTTTAGTCCAAGAACATCCAGAATATCAAGGCTGGGAACTACTATTTTAGCAGCTTTTGCTGTATTTAATGGGGCTCCCCATATAGCAAGTTCAGAATTGCTGCCGTACTCTGCTGCTTACAGATCCCGCTTACCATTGCTTCTATGGGTCTTTTGAGCTTCCTAATACCTGTCCCTCATTTTCAGGTTAATTTTAAGAGAGCTGCTAGCAGCCAGAGAAGTGATATCTTCTTTTCTTTGGAAGCTCAGCTGCTTCTTAAGCCCAGGTGTGCTAGATGGATCATTCTGCACATGGTCAGAGGCTGTCTTTATTATGGCATAAGATTCTAGGCCTAACCTTTTGGGGCTGAGATGTGGGAAGCCCACCTTCAACTCATACCCGAACCACAGATAGTTCTTACAATGGTTATGAGCCCAATTTGAAGGCAAACTAGCTTGGCATTCTTTGGAGGATACCGGATAGCAAGTCTCATCAGCCCCAGCCAACATAGCCAATGATCAAGAATGCTGGGAGGTTAAGAGTTAAACAACACCCAGAACAGGTACACTTCACTTACAACTGTTAACAGGACTGTGGCTGCCCCAGATGTTGTTGAACCCAAATTCCAATTAGATCCAGCCAGCCTTGGTCAGTAGTGAGGGAGGACCAGAACAGTTGTTCAGCAATACCTGGGAGGGGGGGCTGAAAGCTACCCACCTGTGGGCTAATACCAGCAAGGCAAGGCAAAGGTTGCCAGCATTTCACTTGGTCTTTGTAGCTGCACTTTTTGCAGCAGCTGGATGCTCAGACACCAGGAAGTAATATTTAAATTTGCAAGGCCTGCTGATATCAAGCTGTTAAAGGGACAAGAACAGCCCAGGCACTTTTCCCAAGTTTGCTAGAGAGCAGCCTATCACTGAAGGAATGGTATCAACAAAATGTGACTGGAAATGTGTGTTCCCTCTCTTTCCCACCCCCTTGCCCATATTGCCAGCCTTCAACTCCCATCAGTCCTAATCAGCACAGAAGACAGCAGGGGATGCAACATCTGGAAGGCCACATCCTCCCCATCCCTCCTGTATCTCCTGCTCGATACATTCCAAGCTTCAAACCTGTTCCCAACAAACTGGGCTTATGAGCCGGTTCAACCAACCAGAAATAAGAATCCTTCAGGTAGAAAGCGGCATGTAGAAAGTACTATCAGCCAGTTCAACCAACCAACAAGAATCCTGCATGTAGAAAGCTAACCTAAAAGGGAAAAGAAGAGAAAATAAAACAGAATCCTCTTTTCAGCTGAAAAGGTTTCTGCTTTTGGAAGTGTTTGGTTTTGGGTGCGTTCAGTGGTTCTGGCACTATCTGCCCGAGACCCACCTCACCTTGGGAATCATTCAGCCGATGTGGAATTACAGAACTACTGAATGCACCTGAAACTAAACATTTCCAAAAACAGAAACCTTTTCAGATGAAAAGAGGATTCTGGCTTATTTTTCTACTTTTCCCTTTTAGGTTAGCTTTCTACATGCAGGATTCTTTTTCAGATGAAAAAGCCTTTAGGGGCGCTCCTCTCTTCCTCCACTTCTGAAGCGGTATCATCTCAGCAGGATTGTACTGTGTGGTTCTTCAGAAGGGCTGACTCAGGTTTTTGAACCAGTCAGCAATGGAGGAAATATTCTCTCTCTAACTCCCTGGTCCTTATACCGCTGCTGGAAATTGAGATATGGCCCCTCCCACAAATCAGGATGTCGGGGGAGATTGTGGCCAGCCCTCTTGGGTGAGGGTGGATGCCCAGCCAGAGCTGCTCTCCCCTAACCTCCACATATCTGGAGGTAAGAAACTCTTCATGCCCCACCCCCGTGGCCCCCCTGCTGGGGCAGCGTTGGGAATGGGTCCTTGGAAAGGACTGGGAACCTCAGTCCATGTGGGAGCAGTTGGTGGGTTGCAATTTCTCTCCCCCTCACTCCACCAGGGTGGCATGAGAGAAAGCGGAGGTTCCGGAACAACAGGGACTAGCTCCTTCTGTTGCCTGGCATTGGAGGAAGAGGAGTTGCTTTGGCAACTGTCCGCTCTTCCTCGTGTGCCTCCCTTGGGGGGCCGATCCACGGCATGGGTGCGCTGGTGGCGGTTGCGGTGAGAGCTGCGGCTGAAGCATTTCCCGCACTCAGGGCACTGATAAGGTTTCTCGCCGGTGTGGACTCGCCGATGCCTCTCCAGGTGGGAGACAAAGCCAAAGCTTTTGCCACAGATGGTGCACTCGTAGGGCTTTTCCCCCCGGTGGGTCCGCTGGTGGGTGAGGAGCTGAGCGCTGGCCACAAAGCGCTTCCCACACTCCTTGCACTTGTGGGGCTTCCCACTTGAGTGGGTCCTTTGGTGCTGCAGGAGGGTGGAACTAACACTGAAGCTCTTCCCACATTCGGCGCAGTGGTAGGGCTTTTCCCCCGTGTGGATTCTCCGGTGTCGATCCAGGTGAGAGCTGACGCTGAAGCTTTTCCCACAGTCTCCGCACTTGAAGGGTTTCTCCCCCGTGTGGATCCTCTGGTGTCTTTCCAAGTGGGAGCTCCAACTGAAGCTTTTCCCACAGTCAGAGCACTGGTAGCGTTTGCTCTCAGCCAGGTGGGATTTCTGGTGCTTGACCAAAGAGGCCAGTTCCCCATAGGTTTTCCCACATTCGGTGCATTTGTGGGGCCTGTCAGGCGAGTGCACCCGCTGGTGTCTCTCCAGGTGGGAGCTGACGCTGAAGGCCTTCCCACACTCTTCACACCGATAGGGTTTCTCTCCCGTGTGGATCCTCTTGTGTTTGATCAGAGCTGAGCACCAGCTGAACTTTTTCCCACACTCCGGGCACTCATAAGGCTTTTCCCCTGTGTGGATTCTCTGGTGTTTCACCAGCGAGGAATTCTGGCCGAAACTTTTTCCACAGTCCAGGCACTTAAATGGTTTCTCACGACAAACGAGTGGCAAGGGTGGAGGTGGAGGCTCAGGAGCCATAGTCTGTTTGCGGCTACATTCGGCACATTTGGTGGGATCCCTGCCGCTACTCGGGGAGATCTGGAGGTGATAGAGGGCAGACGCACTGAGGTAGAAGTTTTTCCCACACTCGGCACACTGCCGCGGCTTCTCCCCCGTGTGGATTCTCTGATGCCGATAGAGGTGAGAGCTGCGGCTGAAGCTTTTCCCGCAGTCCGTGCATTGGTAAGGTCGCTCCCCAGGCTTCTCCCCCGTGTGGATTCTCTGGTGCCGATAAAGGTGAGAGCTGCGGCTGAAGCTTTTCCCACAGTCCGTGCATTGGTAAGGTCGCTCCCCCGTGTGGATTCTCTGGTGCCTCTCCAGGTGGGAAGTGAAGCTAAAGCTCTTCCCACAGTCGGGGCACTCGTAAGGCTTCTGGCCCATATGTTTCCTCTGGTGCGCAATCAGATTAGCGCTGAGGGTGAAGCCTTTCCCACAATCCTTGCACTGGTAGGGCTTGTCATTGGCATGGGTCCGTTGGTGCTGGACCAGGGTGGAGCTGACGGTGAAGCTTTTCCCACACTCTTTGCACTGATACGGCTTCTCTCCCGTGTGGATCCGCCGGTGCCTCTCCAAGTGCGACCCGACACTGAAGGCTTTCCCACACTCCTTGCACGCATAGGGTTTCTCCCCGGTGTGGATCCGCCGGTGCCGCTCCAGGTGCGAGGTCCAGCTGAAGCTTTTCCCACAGTCCTCACATTTGTACGGCTTGTCACCAGCATGGCACTTACGGTGCCTGGCCAGCGCTTCGGCCTCCGAGAAGCTCTTCTCACAGCCATCACACTTGTGGGGCCTCTCGTTCAGGTGAAGCCGCTGGTGCCTGAAAAGGTTGGACTTCTGGCTAAAGCTTTTACCACAGTCTGTACATCGGTGGCCTCTCTCACCCACGAGTGGTTTGCCAAGAGGCTGTGGCAGAGCTTTGGCGGTAGCCGTTGGCTGAGGGAGCAGTTGATCTTGGGGTTCTTTCCCCTCCGTTATCAAGTGTCTCAGCTTTGCCCCCACTGGCTGGCTCACACCCTCAACGAAATTCTCTCCTAAGATGCCTTCTGCCTGCAGGTCTGCCTTGCTCCGAGTTTTTTCCTGAGGAAGTTCCTCATTCTTCCTCCTCAGCTCCTCCCCTGAGGAGACAAACAGTGCAGAGATGAGCTGACTGCCCAGATATACCTTCCCCCCCACCAATAAACTAGCCAAATATTTATTAGGATTGCTTGTTTCGTTATGCTGGCATTTTTCATTCCTTTTCAGCATATCCACATTACAGAGTGACAGCAGTTTGATAGTGCTTTTACTGCCATGACTCCCTCCTAAGGACATCTAGTTGAAGTACTTAACATGTTTTCCTAAAAATACTCTAGTGCTTGTCATTTAAAAGCAGACAGTTCTGAATACCTCAACCAAACTAAATATTCCTGGGGTCCACAGGGAGGATTCATGATATTTAAAGTGGTGTCCTACTGCCTTAATGGTGTAGTTTAAATATACTCTCAAGGGTTGTATAATAAAAGAAATGTAACATTCTATCAACAGGACAACTAATAAAGCTTTGGGAACTCCATCTTCTTTTGCTAATGGCTCTCATAAGATGTGGGAGACAGTTTTTTTACCCCCGTCCCAGTAGGCCTCAGTACAATGGGATGCCTGCATTGCCTCTCAGAAACAAAGAATAATCACAGTGGTTGTTGTGGGTTTTTCGGGCTCTTTGGCTGTGTTCTGAAGGCTGTTCTTCCTAACGTTAGGAAACGTTAGGAAGAACAACTTTCAGAACACGGCCAAAGAGCCCGAAAAACCCACAACAACCATTAGATCCCAGCCGTGAAAGCCTTCGTGAATACACAAATAACCACAGCAACCAATTAAAAAACACTTAGAAACAATTTTTTTTAAGTTTAAATACTGTATGTGCCTTAAACCCCATCTTGAATGCAAGGAAGGATGAATTTCAGCTCTGTAGGAGGTACACTTCAGTGTCTGACAGTGACACAGGAGAAGACTGTTTCCCGTATATCCCAACAAGTGGACTTCAGCTACCCATTTTCAAAATGGCCTCTCCAGCAGATCTTAATTACTAAACAGGTTCAAGATAATAAATAAATAAATAAATAAATAAATAAATAAATAAATAAATAAATAAAGTTCTTCAGATGTATGGGGCCTAAGCCTTCAGGTGCTTTAAAGGTCAAAACCAATCCCTTAAATATATGAGTGGATGGTGAAGCAGCACAGCTGCTCCTATGTTCTTTTATTTCAACTCCATTTTTTTCCTAAATAGGGGCTCTTCACCTGGGGAGCTTGTGTCAGTTGGCAGCAGGAAATAAATAAATAAATAAATAAAGTTCTTCAGATGTATGGGGCCTAAGCCTTCAGGTGCTTTAAAGGTCAAAACCAATCCCTTAAATATATGAGTGGATGGTGAAGCAGCACAGCTGCTCCTATGTTCTTTTATTTCAACTCCATTTTTTTCCTAAATAGGGGCTCTTCACCTGGGGAGCTTGTGTCAGTTGGCAGCAGGCTTCCTTCAGACTCCTGAAGGTCTGGAACCCAGGGATCTTCCCCTCGGTCCATCCAGGAGAGCAAGTCAGGTTTGGAAACCGGAAATCCAGCTGATGAGAGAAAGCAAAGGTAGAACTTCTCAGCCTTAATGATTCTTTCACTCTGCAACGTATCATTTGTGAATGTTGTTCATCTGGGACAGAAAGTGGAAGGCCATCATTTTGCTTGATCATTCAGGTCCTCTGTTTTAGTTATAGATGTAAGAGAAACAAAAGCTAATTTGTAAAATAAAAATACCAAAAAAAAGCAGCTGTAAGAACAACAACAATAAAGACAACTTGGTTGCGCAACCATGTCTTCCACCTCCATGTAGTTTCTTATTCTGCCAAAACACTGCAAGCACCTGAAAATATGTATCATGCCAAAAAAAAACCCCACCCTCTCCTTCAAAAATTGTGCCATTTCATAGAATTTACTTCACATGCAGGACTTGGGTTTCTTGCTTGTCCTAATGAGGCAAATAGGAGACAGAATATCTGCTGTGTTTCCTTAGTCTTTGTCTATACTATCGGTACAGTACTCAGAAGTGGAATAGAAAGGGTAGGGGAAATACCCCTGGTGAAAAACTGGCTACAAAACTGGTGGCAACATGAGGGATTTAGATTTTGGGACCACGGATTATGCTTCCTGAAAGATGGACTGCTGGGAAGTGATGGGTTGCACCTCACAAGGAACAGGAAGAATGTGTTTGGCCACAGCATGAAGAACTTTATCAGGAGGGCTTTAAACTGATTTGGAAAGGGGAAGGAAACAGACGCTCAAATGAGATCAAATGAAGGTTCAAGCTACAGGAAGCCAGATTTGTATTTTTATTTTACAAATTAGCTTTTGTTTCTCTTACATCTACAACTAAAACAGAGGACCTGATATTTCTGAATATCAAGAAAAACTTCTTAACTGTTAGAGCAGTACGACAATGGAACCAATTACCTCAGGAGGTGGTGAGCGCTCCAACGCTGGAGGCATTCAAGAGAAAATTTTAAAAAACCATTGTCAGATACACTGTGATTTGGATTCCTTGAGCAGGGGGTTGGGCTGAAAGGCCTTAGAGGCCCCTTCCAACGCAGAGAGCACATGTAATCATATACCTGATGCCAGCCCTCTCCGGTGTGATTCAGCCAGAGTGGTGATCCGAGGCAGGCTGATCGCCATTTCTTCTGCTAACAAGAAAGAGTTGAAAGGACACCATCAAAAAACACAAGGCAGGCTTGGGAGGCTCATTTTGATTTGAGTACGTCGGCACCCTTTGTCCTGTGTCACCATGCTGAAGCATGAGCTTAATACTAATTCTCTGCCGCAGCCGTCTGCCTTTCATTCCTCCAATCAGATTACACTGCCAGAGTTTTATTTGTGATTAGATTAAGTACACAAAAGTTGAGTCTGTCAGCCGTTCTAAACCAAATTCAAGCTTCCATGTTCGGAGGCAGTATAGCTTTCGAGGGCTAGATGATCAGGGCTAACAAAAGGATGATGCTGTTCCGGAGCTTCCAGAAACACATGAGTGGTTGCTGTTGGAGAAATTATGTGAGACACTATGAACCGGGGTGGGAAACTTTTGACTTTTGGGGGTATTATGGAGTACCCATCCCACAATTCCTTACCATTGTCCACACTGACTAAGAGAGTCGAACTTTTCCCCATCCTGGAGTGAACCTTTGGTTTGATCCAACCTTACTGTTTTTATGCCCAGCCACATTTCCTGGGAGAAACTGATCCTCACCCAGAGAGATCAGCGTCTCATAATTCTCCTGCATGATACTCCAAGGAAGGCTTTGTTGCTCTTTGGGGAAAGGCAGCTTCTACCGCGGAGGCCTCTGGCATCTGAAACAAGAAGAGTCGAAACCATTAAATTATCCTTGATAATCTGCAGGCGAGATCATGTCCAGAGAATGTAGGGATTAGCAAGTAAATATCCCTGGCCAAAATCCATTCTCCCCCACCCCACTCTGGGCACTTCGCCATCCTGATTGGCAAACCAAGTGCAAAGCAGCACTGTGAAAGAGGTAAGGTAAAGGTAAAGGTTCCCCTTAACAATTTGTCCAGTTGTGTCCGATTCTAGGGGGTAGTGCTCATCTCTGTTTCAAACCCACAGAGCCAGCGTTTGGTTGTAGACAATCCTCTGTGGTCATGTGGCCAGCGCGACTAGACACGGAATGTCATTACCTTCCCACCAAGGTGGTCCCTATTTATCTACTCGCATTTTTGCATGCTTTTGAACTGCTAGATTGGCGGGAGCTGGGACAAGTGATAGGGGCTCACTCTGTCACGTGGATTCAATCTTACGACTGCAAGTCCTCTGACCTTGCAGCGTAGAGGCTTCTGCGGTTTACCCCGCAGCGCCTAATCAGTGTGTGTGCCATCAAGCATCCCCTGCTTCTGGGGCATCCTAGGACTGTGCAGCTTTCCCAAGGCCACACAGGCTGGCTCTTCTGGGACCCACAGAAATCCCAACCTCTGTCTCTGCAGCCAGATGCCTAACCCACTGAACTATCCAGCCAATAGCCACAAAAGCAAGATACTGACCAGGAGTCTTCATCCACACACACACACCGTCACCAATACTTAAAAGATGAGGAATATGCAGCCTGATAGACATTGCTGGGTTGCCACTCCCATCACGTCTAGCCAGCATGGTCAATCGGGAAGGATGATGGGAATCATAGTCTAGGTTCTGTAGCCATCTCTTTCCTAGTTGTAGGCAAATCTATAGACAAATCATCAAACCTGTCTCCCTACTGCTCCAAATTCCTTTACTGATTTTTTTTAAAGGTTCCCCTTGACATTTTAGTCAGTCGTGTTCAACTCTAGGGGGCGGTGCTCATCCCCATTTCCAAGCCGTAGAGCCAGCATTTTAGGAGCTAATAAACCACAGTCACCACCACACAAGCTGCTTAAACAATCACAACACGGGCAAATGAATGGGCACAAAACAACCAAAGTGTGTTGTTTCTCTAAAAAGAAGGACGGGGAAGAAGAAGAAGTGTAAGAGAGGAAAGAGGCCATGCACTGGGCAGCTCTGGGTACAGATACATAAACTGTGGACAGCACAGAAACCTTTCAGCCTTCCCTCCTCATGGATGCTGCCTTGTACAACCTGAAATATGGGCTTAAGTTTATTTAATATATTTTACACTACCTTTCTCCTTTAAAAGGACCCAAGGTGGCTTACACTGTTAAAAAAATACAATATTTTAAAACGTTCTTAATATTTTAAAGTTTGCAACTTTCTTTGTGAGGTCTAGAAACTTTACTTTTACAGGAATGCTGAAAACCTCAGGAATGTGAATCCACACCTGGTGTCCAGAGTTCTAGCTGCAGGAATGCACAGAAGATGCAATGGACAGAGAATCAGCATCAAGGCATTTCATACACACGGCTACATTTATTTCAGGTGGATTAACCCAGTGTAAAATACCGGGTTATGTATTCAAACTCACAATCACGAAGGAGGATTAACTCCTCTGTTTCACCAATATGAAAGTGGGAAGAAATCAGAGCGATTAAACCAATTTAGGGATGTGTTTCAATGAAGCAATCTGGAGTAGGCAGTATACTGAAGATGCTATACAAATATTCTGTAATTTGGCGCCCGCCTCTAAATGAGTTAAGACTTCAATTCCCATTAAAGCTCACCAGCCTGGTTCTGCTACTAGGGACTGATGGGAATCATAATCCCACACACCTCAGAGAGAGAACCAGGGTCTCGAGGGTTGTGCTACAGTAATTAATGTCAGGCAGTACCTCCTTGAACAGACAACCAAGACTACGTATCTGAGCAGCAGAGAGCAGGTCTTTGTAGTACCTGGAGGGAAAGTGGAAAGGAAAGGAAGCAGGAGAGATTAGTCTACAACCTAGTAGAGGATTTTTAAAAGGAGGCATTAAGGAGATTCCAGCCGAGCCTTCGCATGCCAAAGCCATGTAGCTGAAGCCAACGAACATTCTTCTTTAATCAGGGTGCCAAAAGCATTTTGCTGCCCGAGATACAAATTTCCCTTCCCTCCTCACATTGCACAGGACTCAAAGGCAGCTGGCTCACTACTTCATCTAGCAGTGAAGAGGCTGCAGAAGCCACTGGCAATGGTGCGGCTAAAAAATATTGTAAATAAATAAATAAATAAATAAATAAACCACGAGAGACTTATTTTGCCTAAGACCAATAGGGCAGCCTCTATGTGGAAAAAAATACATGGGCCCAAGGGGTGGAGTGTTCCAAAACCAGTCCAGAAACACTTCGGCCTCCCTGCCCGCACCTTCTTTGACCTCATAAGGCTCATCCTTGAACCAAGGGAAGATAGAGACAAATTCCAAAGGGAAACAGTGGAACAGGAATTCATCAGTTGTTGTTCAACACTGTCTCCTGCTGCTCGAAAAGGAGCAAAGGATTTTTGAATCTCACTCCCAATTCATTTATGCTGGACAAATTGTATTGTCATCTATTTTTTGTTTCCTACACGACTACTATTTATACATTTTTTACTACCTGTCACTTTTTGCACTTCCTATTCCCTCTGGCCTTTCTGATCATTAGGGCAGCCCACCGTCTCAGCGAGGGGGTGCTTCTCCTCCAAACTCCACCCTGAGGACAAAATCACCAATGCTAAAGGCCATCCCTGCCTCCAAAGACTTCACATATCTTTCATACAGAGGTCTCTCTGCTGGTAGAATTTTTAGCAAAATGGGTTGTCCGTTTTTGATCATTAGAGTTTGGCTTTCTCCGTGGTGCTAATGATTTAGTTTCAGGGCCAAACTGCAAACAAAAACTGTATTTTGTCAAATGGGTTGGTTAGAACCCCAAACTAACCTTTGCTTTTACAGTATTTGGTTTTGACTGTGATTTATCACCAGAATACCCAGTGACAGATCCACACATTTGCAATGAGATCTGGGTAACTACCGTTAACTTCTTCAACAGGATTTTCCATGACAGATCACCAGAATTTTTTTTAAAGCAACCTGGATTAAAGTTGTTTCTGGGGGCCCTGTGAGAATTAGGGAGCCTGACGCTTCATTATTTTCATAGTAGATCCACCCCAGTTATTCCAATGTGAAATCTGACTATTTATGCTGGGATGTAGATAGACAGATGCTAGGAGTAAAATATTTTAAATAAACAAACAAACAATTTATTACATGCTCAGTTCAGATCATCATCATTGCATGCACTGGCAGAGGGCTGGACCAGATGATCCCTGGGGATCCCTTCCGGTTCTTAGATTCTAATATTTGCCCCTTCTTCATTCTATCCACCCACCCTGTGCATAAATATCTAGGTCAAACAGAAACCATGCTCCATGCATGGGAGGAAGCTGGCTGCTGCAACCCATGAAAGGATTTATGCCAAATAAAACGTGAGCGTCTTTCAGGTGTCACAAAACTCTTCGCTGTTTTTGTTTTCCTTCTCTCTCTCTTTCCAGCAGATAATTTAACACCCTGCCCCACCCTCCCAAATAACTGGGGCTAAGTGATGTCTCAGGGTGAGCACGCAGGCCCTTCAAGCCGACAGGCACGATGCCATGAGCCTAAAGGGAAATATTTTAAAGACACACTATATACCCCCGCACCTCCCGTTTCTGCCTTTAGTTCCCCCAGCATCATCACACCGGGTCATGCCAGCGTCCTAGGAATCCTTCCCAGAGAAGCAGATGGCACCTTTCCCACCTTGGCCGGGCATCGCGGATGCGGGGGAGAGGGCGGCCCCCCCAACGCCTGGCATTCGTCCCACCCGGGACGCTGGCCCGGTTCTCTGTCTGTGTGCGTGTGTATGTGTGTGTCAGTGTATCCGAGTCACCCAGGAAGCTCAAAGCCCGACGCCCCGAGCAGAGGAAACAGCGAGGAGAGAGAGAAAGAGGAAAGGGCCGATTTCCCTTCTCTCCTGGAGCCATACCCAGAGCCCTCTGGTGGCTGCAAAACAATCATCCTCCGCTTCGGGCCGCTTGGAAACCGGAGGATGAGGGAAGGAAGGAAAGCTTACCCATCATGGGGGAGTCTCCGTGTGGCAGATTCCCCACACACACACCTCTTGTATGCTTCAGTGGATGCTGAGCCTATGGACCTAATGGTACCTTGATTGATGGGTTCCATGCATCTCGTTTATCAGTGGCCAGGCGGTTCCTTCAAAGCCCTGTGCCCTGAGAAATCAGATTTGCAAAGGGCACCATGTTTGCCTCCCAACGACCAATCAGAAAGGAAAAGCAAGCTTGCTTATTTATTTATTTATTTATTTATTTATTTATTTATTGCATTGCATTGCATTGCATTGCATTGCATTGCATTGCATTGCATTTATATGCTACTCATCTAGACATAGTCTACTCTGGGCGGTTCACAACATATACAATAAAAACAATTTAAAATATACACAGTTATTACATAGGTAAAAACAAAGCAATATAAAATATAAATCATAAGTTTACAATTTTAACAATTAATTAATTTAAAGTAAACAGTTCCAAGATGGCATAGTTCAAAAGAAAAAAAATAAGAAACAAGAAATAAATAAAATTTACAACAGGGAGGTGAGGGGCTAGTGCAGCTGCCACCCTTGCAGCCAGCATGGCTCTCCTCTTCTTCACCTTTAGCTTCACACTGTGAGGTATCCAAGATGGCATAGTTCAAAAGAAAAAAAAATAAGAAATAAGAAATAAATAAAAATTTACAACAGGGAGGTGAGGGGCTGGTGCTGCTGCTGCTGCCACCCTTGCAGCCAGCATGGCTCTCCTCTTCTTCACCTTTAGCTTCACAACAACCTGTGAGGTAGGTAGGCCAGGCAGAATGTAAGTAAGTAGCCCAAGGTGGAGCTTGAATCTAGGATTGCCCCAGACTGGGTGAAACACCCCGACCATTACACCATACTTTCTCTTGGGGGAAAGCAGTGAAATGCCAATTTTTGGAGCAAATTTGGTTTTCCCGTAGAAAGAAAGACAATAATAACTCATGACCATCACATGGCATAAAACAGGCAACAATTTGTTTCAAAAGGCACGGACGCTATTCCTTTTTTAAAGAACATTCTCTCTCGCTCGCTCGCTCTTGCTCCCTCTCACCACAGTGTTAGGTTGCCAGCAGAGCACTAGGTTGCCTGCTCTTGCACTGCATCACGCTGGCAAAAATGAGATCAGTCACAAGAGGGATTTGAACCCACAACTTTTTTTTTATGAGGCTTAGAACACTCTGAGCAATTGAGCAATCGCGTCCGGTGCCTTAGACCACTCAGCCATCCTGACAATCTCTTCTCCCTTTTACTGTCACCTAGAAGTGCAAGCTCAAGAATGATAGAAGCAGAAATGCTATTACTGCGACCTGAGTAACAAAGATTAAGAACCACTGCAACAGAAGCAGAAATGCTACTACTGTACCACAGGTTTGGCAGTAGCACAAATACAAGCTGAAGGTGTAAGTACAACCTTCAAATGGAAGCAGAAAGAAAGAGACAGAGTAGGTGCTGTGATGGCTGAGTGGTCTAGCTGCATCAGGCTCCTTGCTCAGGATGTTCTGGTCTCCAGTTAGAGATGTGAGTTCAAGTCCTGTTCCTGACATATTTCATTTTTGAAGTATGCTGCAGTGCAGACATAACTTTGACCTAATTTCTCCAGATGCTATTGGCCAACACCCCTTGATCCAGATGTTGTTGGGTAGTGACAGTCAATCGTGTTTGTTGGGACCACTACAAGCTGAAAGTCAACAACATCTGTAGGCTGCCAGGTTGACTATTCCCATGGTAGTGCTTAGAGACTGTAAGGAACCCCCCCTAAAAGGGCATTCCACTAGGTGAAGGAAGCACTGTAGTTACTACCTTTCACCACCCTTTTCCAAATTTATTAAATACTTTAACTGAAACAAACTTTATTTATTTATTTATTTATTTATTTATTTATTTATTTATTTATTTTATGTATGTATGTATGTATGTATGTATGTATGTATGTATGTATGTATGCATGCATGCATGTATGTATATATGTATATATGTATATATGTATGTGTGTATGTGTGTGTGTGTGTGTATATATATATGTGTTAAGATCATCAGAAGAAGTTTATTTATTTATTTATTTATTTATTTATTTATTTATTTATTTATTTATTTATTTATTATACCCCGCCTATCTAGTCATTTCGACCACTCTAGGCGGCTTACAACATAAAGGATAACAAGTTTAATGAGTAAGTTCTATGAATAAGCTTCTAACATAGGTTTTCACCTGTCCCCTTACCTGAGACAGAAATTCTCCCACTTTGTACTCAGCATGCCAACCAGACAAGGTAGCCCACCCAAAATACTTAAAAGTAGCAAATACAGCTGTTTGGTCAGGCACCTTATTTAGACACTCAAACTCCTTTTCCCTCAAGGATCACACTTGGATAAAATATAAAAAGATTTATTAAAAATTATTAAAAAGTAAAAGAAATTTTTAAAAAAGCAGTTGTACAGCTTCAAAACAACGCAAAAGCATCAAGCAATTCATATTCAGATAATTAAGAGAGCTTGCATGAAAACAATCCCCATAAAATAATAAAAGCTATCTAAATCTCTATCTAAAACCTAGTATTTCCTAATTATTCAAAGTTTAGTTTCTAATCCTGCCTCTCTAACCATAATCCATCATCACGAGAAACCAGCAGATAGAAAGTCAGTCCCTCTGGCAATTGAAAAGCAATTACTGTAGCTAAAAAGTTACTAGCAAGCCTCTTGCTCGGTTTTGAATCCATGTTTCCACAACGTGATGTTATCCAACCAGGTTCAAGTCCTTTGTCCAGTAACTTCACCCTCAAAATGTAACTTCTCTCAATCCGCT